ACTCTTCATAGATGGAAGGGTCTTAAGGTTTATGACCCTAGGGTCTCACGTTTACCCCCTGGGGAAGGAGGGGGGGGGATTTATTCTGGTTTATAATGGCAAATGATACTTTGAATATTACATGTTAATAACTTGATTGGAATTATAACCCTGAGTTGACAGTTTGATACCATGAAAATGTTGAGCCAGCCCTACCCCCAAGGGCTAAAATTTCTTCATTTTCCTTGTTTAGAATCAGAGGTGCTAGTTTAAAATACTTTTTAGTCTTAAATCTGTATGCTACATATTGTATAAGGTGGTTTTATTGTTTTTTGTCACTTTGAATAATATTTCTGTTCGTGTTAAAAACAAAATCAACTCTCTGTATAAATATATCAGGTGACCGTTAAGGCCCATGGGCCTCTTGTTTATTGATGTTTGTGCAATGTTCACAAAAGTTGTTGATTAACAAATCCCTGGGTACTGTTTCTGTACTTTGTGTGGAGAGTGAAAACTTCTCTGTGTTTATTGCATCCCTCTTAGTCATAAGTACCTATCCATCCATATTTGAGAAATCCTGAACTTTTCACAGTTAATCGAAGTGTTAACATTAGAAATACCAGTTTTGTTAACATACATTTATTATCCGGGGATATTGTTAGGATAGAGCCATTGAGGTGTGGTAAATCAGTGAGGTGAGAAATGTTGGACTAGACTGTGGCACCAGTGTTCTGCCGGTTTACTACAGTTTTATTAGTCGGTTGGTGGTTATGTTTAATATCATATTCTGACAAGTACATGGATGCTCTTAATTAACTTTTCATTGTTATGAGAAAAAGAACTCTCTATTTACATATTATATAGGTGATAAAGCAAACAGGAGCATATGATATTCCTCAGCAACAAAAGCTACATTTTGTGCTTTGGGTAGATATGGAAATTATACTAGCGCACAACAATTACATAGGTATGCAAACCCTATTTGTAAGACATAACTGGATTTGAACTATATTTATAGTACCTGTACTTGTTCTAATCGTCTCAAATATTAACATGCACCAATACATCGATTAAAGGACACACAACAAAGAGGGAGGGGGCAGGGAGAGTCAGAGGAGGGAGAGTCAGAGGAGGGGGGAGTCAGGGGGGTGGGGAGTAGGTGAGGGAGAGTTGCAGGAGAGGGGAGTAGGGGAGGGGGGATTGAGGGAGGGGTAGTTGAGGGAGGGAGAGTTGAGGGAGTAGGGGAGTGGGAGGGGAGTAGGAGAGGTAGAGTTGAGGGAGGGGAGTAGGGGAGGGGGAGTAGGGGAGGGAGAGTTGAGGGAGTAGGGGAGTGGGAGGGGAGTAGGAGAGGTAGAGTTGAGGGAGGGGAGTAGGAGAGGTAGAGTTGAGGGAGGGAGAGTTGAGGGAGTAGGGGAGTGGGAGGGGAGTAGGAAAGGTAGAGTTGAGGGAGGGGAGTAGGGGAGGAAGTGTTGAGTGAAGGATGGGAGAGTACGGGAGGGGAAACTTTTACATGTACATTTTCATTGTCTATGCATAATGCTTTATGCATATGGAAGGGAAGTGCTTCAATATTCAAATATACAAAGACTGAATGACTCCAGATTTTGATACATGTGTGTTACATTATATTGTTGAATGTTGAAACATATGGTAAGGAATGTGGGGCAGTGTGAACTGAATCTGGCCACATATCTGACATTTGGTAGGACCATTGTTATAGTAGTATTGTTGTCAGCACTAGTAGTCTGGCCCATTGTCACAGCACTCAGGTACACAGGTGCACCACACACTGCTCTGGACTGGTACTACACTGACCTTCACAGATCCCAGTCAGGAATGAATTCTCCACAAATTGGACATATAGCTATTAGTTCTTGATGGAGAAAAAGTCTATGGAAGGATATAGATTCAGACTGCTGACTTGACAGACACATACATGTATGTATACACTACACAGACCTATGTATATTTATATCCTACAGACCTATTATATAGGTCTTCACAGACCTATATATATATCCTATAGCTATATACTTTCACATAGGTGCATTTCTTACAGTGTCTATTGAGTTTGTAATACCACACAGAGGCAATGCTATAGTAAGAAACATGAAGCTGAGTAGGCTAATAAAAGCAAGTAAAGGCCTCATGTTTTGAACGCTCCTGTGTATCCTGTGAGCTCTGTGTTAAATTATTAATACCACATTGTGTGTGTATATGATACTGCTACCTTTGAGAACTTCAATAGTGGCAGTCAGCTGACACCTGTTAGAAACTAACCATGTGGCTTTCATATTCTGTCACCTGTTAGGGACCTCTATGGTGATATCTTGTCACCTGTTAGGCACTTCTATGGTGATATCTTGTCACCTGTTAGGGACTTCTATAGTGATATTTTGTCACCTGCTAGGGACTTCTATGGTGATATCTTGTCACCCGTTAGGGACTTCTATAGTGATATTCTGTCACCTGTTAGGGACTTCTGCAGTGATATCCTTTCACCTGTTAGGAATTCTGCAGTGATATCCTTTCACCTGTTAGGAATTTCTATATTGATATGTTGTAACCTGTTAGGGACTTCTATAGTGATATCTTGTCACCTGTTAGAGACTTCTGCAGTGGTATCCTGTCACCTGTTAGGGACTTCTACAGTGTTATCCTGTCACCTGTTAGTGACTTCTATAGTGATACTCTGTCACCTGTTAGGGACTTATGCAGTAATATATTCTGTCACCTGTTAGGGACTTTAATTTTCATCTGCAGTGATATTCTGTCACCTCTTAGGGGGTTTCTGTGTGCTAGAAAATATTGAAATAAGCACAATGCCACCCTGTTTAAAATCATTCCAATGGCTGGCACACCAAACTGTATATCAAATTCAATAATGCATTCTGTTAGCATTAATCAATCCCTGTCACAAAAAAATCCTTCTTCAATATTTCTCAAACATAATTGAGGTACATGCACACTAAACTTCAGAAAATATATTCAACAACTGATGAAAAACCTCACTTTTTATATGTTCATTTTAAGTCACAATTCAGGAAAAAAAATCATTTAAACTTGTAAATATCATAAGGTTTGGATGTCCATGGCGATGCATTTGTAGAGAAAAATGTAAGAAAATGTGTCAAATCTTCAGAATAATGGAATATATTTCCCCTGAATAAATCACAATTGAGCACAAAGCGAACAAGGCTGACTGAGGTTGGAAAAAAGCATGCAAAGCAATTGAGATTTTACCTGTACACCATTCACTACAGGTTCTCACTCAGGTAATATGGCTTGACTTGTATCAAAAGTTTTTTTAGCTTTATGAATTATTGTAAAATACCCAATCAAAATACATGTCATCATTCTTGAGATTTGAAGCATTTTCTTACATTTTTCTCAACCAAACTTATGATATTTACAAGTTTAAATGGATTTTTTCCTGACTTTAGAGATAGTCTGTTACCAGTTAAACTTCCTACATAGACTAGGTTACTCCAGCTTACAACTTCTAATGTTCACAGTCTGATACATGAATAGATGACATATCATATAGATGAAAGGGCCTAGATGCAATCCTCATTTAGGATTTCGGCTGTTTGTAGTTGCTACTTGACTGATTGGATATTTTCTAGTGGGCATCCATGGGTATTAAAGAACAGAAAGTAAAAAAAATCGAAACAGGGCAGGAGAGTAAATAAAGTAGAGGAGAACGAAGACAGTCAGTGTCTTGTAACAAGATCAAGACATCAGGTTTTAATGAGTCTGTCTCGGCTGTGTAGTAGGAAATAGTGTTATGGCAGGGACGAGGAGGCTGCTAATACATGGGCAGATTAGTCTAGGGCTGTGTCTAGTCACTGGTCTCTCCAAAGAGATGGCTAAATGGTGTATTGTTTGGTACACTATTACCTCCGGCAACAATGAGTTCTACCACTTGACCTGTTTGACCTTACAAACTGTGATAGATTCTTGCTTCTTGATAATTACTTTGTCAATTTGTGAGATGAAGCTAGCTGTTTCACAATTCACTGGTGCTTCACTTATGAAAAATATCAATTTCCCAACCCCTTCCACAAAAAAAAGAAAAAGAGAAATTAAAATGTATCTGATATAATTAATCAAGGAAGGTTTTTATGATGCTTGTTTGTGTTAATGAGGACAAAACAAGCTTTGGCAGTGCATTTTGTACACTGATGACAGATCAAGACATGGTAGTTTTATATGTTATCTGAGCCTGTAGGTCTGGTAGTTTTGACACAGTTGTCATCAATTGAAGACAAGCACCTGTCAGTCCCCCTATGTGTCACATCCTGGGTCCATTCTCCAATACAAGGTCACTAGGCTTATCTATACCTGTGTTATAACATTGAGTGAACTGAGGTCTTAACTGCAGGCAACTAGCAGATAATTCAGTGGACTTTTAAATCAACCTAATGTCTCCATGCACCTATAGTGTCTGGAAGGAGAATTACCATTCATCTGTATATATACATTATAGGTAATCTTTGTGGAAACTTTTTGTTTTCTTTCAGCATACAAAAGTCTGAGTGTGTAATATTTACGTTAATGTATCCATGTAATGGAAATTGTTGTAAAAGTGTCCAAAGCACCATGTATTAATGAGGTTAACACTGTTTTTACTAGGTCTATATTTGTATTTCACCCCTGCTGTATTTTTGTTTAGGAATTCCATGATTTTCATGTTGTATAAATTAAGGACTGCAATTTTAGCTGTTTTAACTCCAATTCTGTTGTTGTTTCAGCCACCATGGACCAAATGGAGCTAGAAGAGCAGTTAGCCCTGGTGAGTAAATACACAATTACTTACAGGTGTACATGATTGAGATCTCAATTCGAAATCAACTCATTTCATTTAAGGTGCTATATGTTCACAGTGCAATACCGATCTACAGAGGATACTGAGTGGTGTACAGCAGCCGGAGCATGTTACCTTATGGAGTTCAGAGTTGATTGTCAGCTGTTACTCTACAGACTGTACAGGGAGCTAGCAATTATATATCAGATATAGATGGCACACTGGATATCTAAAACTTGGTCATTGTCGATGCATGTGTATATTATATTATGCATGCCCCCTCCCCCATCTTTTACAGCCCCAAACTGGTTTAAGGCAGTAACGCCCTCATCCACAACCCTGACTCCGACTATTTTCGACAGGGGCGTTCTCTTTAGATTCCAGAACGGTGTGGTGCACCTGAAGAGTGGAAGTTTAGGCTCACTGTCCTGGAGCTGGAGATACAGACAGTGAACAGGGTGTATGGTCTCATGTGATAGAGTTTTTGCCCTGCAACCCAGGAATATGTTATTTCCTGGATAAAAGCATTTCATAACTATAACTATTATTTGGAATGTACATAAATATAAGTAAAAGACAGAGTAAGGCATATCAGTAACATCCATATTAAAACTGTTCAATTTCTGTGTGACTGTGTATTATAGATACATGGTACTGCCATAATTATAATTTTACTGCCTGGCTGTCTGACTCTCTGTCTGACTCTGTCTGACTCTCTGTCTGACTCTCTAGATCTCTGTCTGATTCTCTGTCTGACTCTCTGTCTGACTCTCTGTCTGACTCTCTGTCTTACTCTGTCTGACTCTCTGTCTGACTCTCTAGATCTCTGTCTGACTCTATCTGACTCTCTAGATCACTGTCTGATTCTCTAGATCTCTGTCTGACTCTCTAGATCTCTGTCCGACTCTCTAGATCTCTGTCTTACTGTCTATCTTACTCTCTAGATCTCTGTCTTACTCTCTGTCTTACTCTCTAGATCTCTGTCCGACTCTCTAGATATCTGGGTGACTCTTTGTCTGACTCTCTGTCTGACTCTCTGTCTGACTCTCTTGATCATTGGCTTAGATTTAATGGTACATCACATATAGAAAAAGCTCCCATAAACTGTTTAATTATTTTGTCAGAAATTGGTGGTTTACAAGTGCTTGAAAAGAATTAAACCAGGTATCTTAATTAACTAATGAAAACTCTTTGTTAAAACATCTTATAGAGAATATTACACTTATAAGTACCCTGTTAAACATCTTATGGAGATCTTTACACCTATAAGCACCCTGTTAAACATCTTATAGAGATCTTTACACCTATAAGCACCCTGTTAAACATCTTATAGAGAATTTTACATGTATACGTATCCTGAGTATAAACATTTATACAAGTACCATGCAAAACATAAACCGGGTATTACCTGTGGATTCCAGTCAATTACCTGACTTAATTCTATACTTAATTAACGCATGACTGCATGTGAATCTGTCAGCCAAATCAACTGAAACAGCTTGTTACACTCGATTGATCTATTTTTAAAGCAATTGAACGGGAACCATGAATTATTTAGTATTAAATGATGGCAATATGTTTCCTTTCCATTAATGATTCATGAGTTTCGACTCTAGAAGATCAAAGATATATTTATCTGGAGTTGTATGAATCTCTGTGTTGTGTTTGATGTGTAGTCGGGATGGTTAGGGGTTACGTGAGAGATACGTACACCACCAAACAGATACAGACTTATGGTAGAGGTATTGCTATTCCATCACAGAAAACCAACATGGCCTGACAGACTTGGCAGGCCCTAAACCCATGGATCACAGAATACATGGTTGTGATATACAACATGATGTAACATTGCACCAAGGTCACCTTTGGAGTGTGTTTTAGATTGTGATCAACCTCCGTGTCACAACTTGGCTGTTGAAATATAAATTTAGGTTGTGACTGGGCGATTTGCCGTATTTCACTTTATATCCTTCAAGTGGAAAATAAGTAACTGCAAGCCATGAAGCCTGGTGATAAGCGAGCCTGTTAATTAATCACTGAACATTAATTCACACTTACTGCTCATTTTGCTTTATACACATTACATGTAGGTGTCATTTTACCCTGTATAGGGTAATTGATAAAAATGGCAATGCAGCATAATTTTGAAGCTGCAATCAAATGTCCAACGGGGTCAATATTCATAAAACAATTTTCATGCTCAGATTCATGTTCTTTGCCAAAGCACAATTCCTTATTTAAGTCTTCATTTGCCTTTTAATTTATTAATTATTTTGTTGGTACTTGGCTTACACTTGATTGTGGGCACCACTCCCACATTAAATGTTTTCTTTTTGATTCCGTCACAAAACTGATAGCGTTACAAGGCAGAGAGTTTGAGCACAAATCTTGACTTTGAGCAGTTGAGATGGTTTTTATGACTTTATGAACAGGACCTTCTCTTGCGAAAGTCAGCAAAATCCACGTCATTGTCATAGAAATAGCAACAAGCACCTACATTACTACCTCAAGCATTCCACGCCGACAAAAACTGTAGCTGCATGAGCATGTAACGGACATGCCATCGGTCATGTAACGGACATGCCATCGGGCATGTAACGGACATGCCATCGGTCATGTAATGGAAATGCCATCGGACATGTAACGGACATTCCATCGGACATGTAACGGACATGCCATCGGTCATGTAACGGACATGCCATCGGACATGTAACGGACATGCCATCAGTCATGTAACGGACATGCCATCGGTTATGTAACGGACATGCCATCGGTCATGTAACGGACATGCCATCGAACGTGTAACGGACATGCCATCGGACATGTAACGGACATGCCATCGGACATGCCATCGGGAGCAGCTAGGCAGTCTTGCTCTGTAGTCTACTGTCATAATTTAGTCAGGACTTGGTCCTTGTCCAATTTTACTTTAGGTTTCATGTGTTATGCAATGTAAACAATGTAGAATGGAGCTCATTAGTAAAAAGGTGTTCAGTTAGGGAGATCTGATAATGAATAATGACATTCCCGGGCATGCTAAGAAAGCATACATGTAATATCTGCAGTGTGTTGCTGGGTATACAATGGTGATAGGTAAAACCGATTATGGTAACTGTAATTAGCTGTATATATATATGGAGCACCCCTTCGTTCTGGACGCAGTACTGTGGTCACAATTTTACAAGATAGAGATAGAATTTCATAAGCACAATCATTCCTTCGGGATATTATGTAGGTTTACAGGCAGTTACCATAATGAGTTCTCGCATGTTTAAAATACCAGACTTAATTATTACAGACATAATTGCATGCATTAACATAAAACGACACTACAGATTGAAGTTGTCCGTTTAGTGCCTGTGTTAACAAATTAAAGTGGAGTTTTAAATTTACTTAGCCAGCTGATATCCTTTACATGTCAGATCTGATCATTTCATTTTTTAACACAAAACAAAATCTAGTAATTGGCATGTGATCTGAAAAATTGTTCCTGGTGATGGTATGAGTTAACTAAATGACTATTTGATTATGTGTAGAATGAATAAAAAACTACCAGTCACTGTAATGAACCCATTATTAGTACAGGTTATGTTAAAAAAAGGATAAAAGGATCTGAATTGGAAATCAAATATGGTAATGTTTGAGAGCCTATTTCTACATATTGTAGAGGAACTGTGTATTGGATGAGAGTTGATGATGGGGGCCACCCCTTTTCAGGAAGCTGATACTCATGGTTAATTCAGGAAACTTAACAATCTACATGACTTCATGTGCATAAATCAAGTTCAATATACTACTAGAAATTGTTCATGTCTATTAGAGATTGTGTAAAAAGTCTATGAATACTAGAGATAACATGTATATACTAGAGATGGTCCATGCTTACCTCTGTGTGTACAAAACCCAGGACTACTAGATATTGTATGTAATGTGTCATTGACAATTAGTGTAAAATGTCCAATTGTTACTAGAGATTATGTGCAAGATATACACACCTCTTTTTGTATACATCATAAAGTATCTTCCATATAAAAAACCAAAACTACCTAAAAAATGATTTCATCATCATGTTGATCCCCCTAGCATATATTCATTGATACTTTATGTAACACTTCTGGAGATCAGCCGTAAGGTGTTACTGTAACACAAAAATCAATCATTCTCTTCTTGTCCTACCCTGGGAGGGTTTACATTGGAAGGTGTTACTGTAACACAAAAATCAATCATTCTCTTCTTGTCCTATGCTGGGAGGATTTACATTAGATTATGCACGGCTGGTGTTTTATAGCATTTCTGATGCACCAGGTGTTGTTGTTTTCAAACTGTATAGGCCCTGAGCTCTCCCACTTTTAGATACAGCCTTAGTGAGGTACGACAAACATTCTTGCCTCAAGGTTTCTGGCCAATTCTCCATGTCTGACCACAGGTACTATCACATTTTCAGGATTATTGTGTTTAAATTTTTTTTCGTAATCCTTATATTTATCTTTCTTTGGTATTATGACACTTATTCCAGGTCAAGGAAATCTAGATGATATATTCGTTAAATCATGTTACTTACATTCAGGTCAAGGAGATGGTGTATTTGTTAAATCATGTAGCAGTGACCTATTTTCAGGCATATAAAGATGACACATTTGTTTAATCATGTCACAGTGACCTATTTCCAGGTATAGAAAGATGACACACTTGTTTAATTATGTCACAGTGACCTGTTTTCAGGTCTAGAAAGATGACACATTTGTTTAATTATGTCACAGTGACCTATTTTCAGGTCTAGAAAGATGACACACTTGTTTAATTATGTAACAGTAACCTATATTTTCAGGCTTAGAAAGATGACAAGTTTGATAATGATGTCACAGTCACCTATTTTCAGGCCAAGAAAGATCACATATTTGTGAAATCATGTCACGGTGACCTATTTTCAGGTCCAGGAGATGGTCCAGGAGATGAAGACAGGTTTTGCTACAGCAATGGAAGAGCTAGCCAACATTCAATTTGGGGACCAAACCTTACAACAACAAATGGTTACTGACCGGTCAGAAAACAGACAGAGGACTGTGGAACTGACGGACGCAGTACAGTCCTTAAAGGTTTGTACAAAAGAGGAAGTGACCAATAACACCTCCCCATCAAGCGACACAACTGATAATGAAGTTGACTGCCATTCTGCACACTATGAAGGTGTTCGCTCTTATCTGCACTTTTTATGTTTGTTTACAGATCATTATTACAAGAAACATAAGTGTCATTTTACTTATTTGGTAAATAAGATATGTTATTGTCACCCTGTGTCAAATTAAAATCAAGTAAATATCAGGTTGATATTTAGTAATGCAAGAAGAATAACCCTTCCTAATTAGTTGAGTACCATTGACCTCCACTAACAGAACATCAAGGTTTGGAGTGATTTTTGGGACACAGATATGTGAGGCTTTCACTTGAGATTTTCCTGTAGGACTCGGACACATTTAAGAATCCATTTTTTTTCTCTTAGTTAACTCATTCACCCCTGAGATTTTATAATGAACTATTGCAACCTTTGAATTGGGAGAGTTCAAATGAGTGTTAAGGGGTGAATGAGTTAACAGACTCATAAAGATTTTGAAAATGTTTTACAAAACTCACTAGAAAAAGTCTCTCAAGTCACTGATATGAACATTGCCAAACACCCCACCTCCCTCATCACATAAAAGTTTGAACAATCAAACTTCAAAGTAGGGATTGATCCTTATGTGGACATTTGTTTGATAATAGATCATTCTTATTTTGTCTGACATTGGTTGTAAATACCCTTAAAATGGGTTCCTACTTGACAGAGTTAGATCAACCAGATAGAGCCAGGTGCCCACAGAGGATGAGACTGTCAATCAATTCTCCCACCAATCACAGAAGTGTATATATAGCTAAGATTATTTCTCAGTCCCCACCCCCTCCCCACCCAAGGGTATGATGGGAAATACACTTTATATAGTCTTTACTAAAACAAAACACCAACCCCTAAGCCCACCACTATCTCCATGACCTCATATATCCCAACATGAAATGCTGGATATATAATTCATATGGAATGATTTGGTATGTACATGTCTATATGGTCTACTTACTAAACAGGTGTTGTAGAGACAGTAATGATGTTTATTAAATCCTTGTTTGTACATACACTGGTATTTTGTCAATACTGTGATTCATACCTTCTAGATAAAGATTCTGGTGGGTAAACGATCCCCTGGATCTCTCTCCAGGTATTGTTTGTGTGGACGATCCCCTGGATCTCTCTCCCGGTATTGTTTGTGTGGTGGTAACACATGGAAATGCTTTCAGTGTAATCACCTGAACAGTGATAACACGGACAATTTGATGAGGTCTGAGGGTAATCAGTTGAGATTATACAGATCCTTAAGAGGCTGGAGAGTCTTAGAGATGATACCCATGGGTTGTGAGGGGACCGACAATAGGGCGGCTCAGTACTCCTTTTCTACAGTACTTGGTTAATAGGGTCAACAGCTAAATACCAGGTGTCATAACACAAACTATAGTTAAATGTAAATAGTTGTTTATTAGTATATTTCATCGTAACTCAACTTTGAAAATTAAAACCAATCCATCAGATTATATTTTGTGAGCTCATGGTAGTTAAGTACATATCTATCACCTAATTTGATGGGATCGTGACGAAAACCACCATCAAGCTGAAGAAAATATGAAGTAACCAATAGCTGAATAGGATTTTTTTTATAATTATAATACTGGCCTTTCTGGAAACTTCACTAACTTGGTCTGCATAACAAACTTAATCGTGTGCTGAACAGAAATTTGAGTTTACAATAAACTTCAATTGATTTCTATCAGATCTAATCAGCCTCGGCCTTTCCCGAGGAAAATTGATGTGTTCATATAGCTCAGTATACAGAACAAACATTGTGAGGTTTTTGACGGCCCTTTCTGTTGACCTGTACATGATACTCGTGAGTACCTAGATTTGTTAGGGACGGAAACAAACTCAGACCGCCTGTTTACAGTCGAGTAAACATGACTCGCCTATGTACATTAATCCACACGTTCACTTGAATCCACAGAGATACTTAGGCTGGTAATTTACAATGCACTTACATTTCACTAAAGTAATATCTTATGTGTAAAATCTACAATTTAAAAATAGAGACAGCGCTAAGAAATGTTCATTGAACTCGTTTCAATTATAGCCTAACTAACAATAAATGAATGTAGTATCACGACATGATGAGGATGAAAAATAATTTTATGTAGAAAAATTAGACATCACTGTGTTCAACCAGACAGGCCTGATTCATACAGGTCTGTCAAACAAGGTTGAAACCAGTACTGTTGAAGTGTGCTCATGCAGGTGTAGATTGTACTGTCAGCGAACTTCTGTCAGACCTCAGAACATTTCATTGTCCATCACAAGTCAACCTAAACTGGACCTCGTCTCTAAAGTTTCAAATTTATAAAACAAAAAGTCGCTTGAATGTCTTCAGGTTTCAAACTAAGGGGAGATAAACTAGTAAAACGCATTCAGCTGAAAAATACTTTTCAAAAGCTTCTTAGGAGCTGGTAGCTAGCCTGAAATCAATCATGGTTGAATACTTTCTATTCCTATTAGAACAGAACAGGTGCAGATGGAGAGATGTATACAAATATATATAGTCAGCCCTTTAATTCTTCAGAAAGGTTTTCAGGAGTCGAAGATCACTAATTACTACATCTGTCTCAGCTGAATGTTTGAGTCGAAGATCACTTACTACATCTGTCTCAGCTGAATGTTTGAGTCGAAGATCACTTACTACATCTGTCTCAGCTGAATGTTTGAGTCGAAGATCACTTACTACATCTGTCTCAGCTGAATGTTTGAGTCGAAGATCACTTACTACATCTGTCTCAGCTGAATGTTTGAGTCGAAGATCACTTACTACATCTGTCTCAGCTGAATGTTTGAGTCGAAGATCACTTACTACATCTGTCTCAGCTGAATGTTTGATACCCAGTTTTAAATCATCATTATATTCACCAAGTATTTTTTAATATACAACGTCAACCATACATTTTTGCAGGTGATTTTGTTGAAGGACGTGGTCACCTTGAGGACAAATACTTGCAATTTGATTGGTTGATCCATGTCCATATTGTAATTGAAACAGCTTTTAAATGTATTGAACTTTGACCATACTTTGATGGCAGGCACATAATGCATGCTTGGTACTTTTAAATTGTAATGTCAACCTTTTGATTGGATAATCTATCATAAATGACATGGCCCTACTTGTATGAATCATCTCGACTTTTGAAGGTAAACTCCCTCCATAAAAGTGTTCCTAAGTACATAGGCCCTTTACATTAACACAGTAGATATAAAATAAACGTACATAAAGTAATGTCTAAACTTTTTTGATTATCGATACAAAATGTATTATTTTTCTATGTTGTTATATTACTTAAACATTCAAAATACCGGTACTTGTACTTTTAAAGTTCAATATAAAGAAAAAGAAATAAAAAAATAGTTTCCTAAGCTTGTGTTTAAACTAACGAATAAGGAGATGTGAAACATTTTTTAATTCTCATTTTGAACTGAAAATAAACCGAGACTTCTAAAGGTGTGTTCTGGTCTGATAATTACTCCTTTCATCAATATCTTCATTATCTTAACTTCAAACCATGCTTGATAGTAAAATTCAGAATTATTAAAAAAGAAATATGAAACTACTTTTCAAATTCTCTTTTTATCTTGATCCTTTGGAATTTTAATGACTTAATTTATGTATTTTTTTAGCCGAGCGCTGAGTTACAAATCAGTTTGATGGCACAACTTTCAATTATCAACTGAATGTCTTACTACATGTGAAATGTCTTACTACATGTGAAATGTCTTACTATATGTGAGGTGTTCACATTTTGTCTCATCTGGATTCTTTGGTACTGTTTCAATCACTGTGCCATACTATTGGTCAAAGTCTTTGACTGGCAGTTGTTTAATTCAAATTCCACTCTATTTCTTTTTGTTAATAACTGGACCTAAAAATACACCTGGTATAACATTACCATAAACCACTTCCTAATTGATTTTACCTGTCTTGTTAGTGTTAGGAATATGACCACAACTTTGTCGAGATTAAACTTCCTAGCACGTGCATGCTACATTAAACAGTATTTTATTTGTAGGTCTGTAGTTCAATAGACACAGTAAGGTACTTCTGTCAACAAAATTAATATATACGTCATGTTTCCTATCACATATAAAATCTAAAGGCGTAGTCAATAGCTGATAGAATTTTAAGGTCAGCTAGAAAGTTACCAGTGATAAACAACGTACATGTACAGACTGTATCAGACTGTTGAATGTCTAGTTATTATGTCGGGTTCACTCACGATTTGACATGTGATTTACGTAATTTCTTCATCTTGTGTCGAAGAAAAACATATTCAATGCTCTGTTCCAATTATAACCAATTTAGATGTCATTTTATAAAGAAAAAACAGCTCATTTCCTTTATATTTCATGTAAGAAGAATTTGTACAAAGTAAGAAATTCATGTTACTGATGTAATGTGATCATATGGGATAGCTGGTATAGTGTTGGTGGCCACACACACCTATAAATTAAATTAAGGTCCTAAATGTAATGGTTGGCCTAGATGTATTGAAGCTAGCCAATTGAAGTCTTCCTTTATGCCTTTAGAATATAGAAATTGTGTCACTGTATAATATCATCAGATCCTGTTTGATAAGGTTTTTTTATGAAAGTGTTTTATATTAAATATTTTAAAACATCAGTTCATAGGTAACTAGATCCAATGTTTCCACTAGGGATCAAACATATGGAAATATCATTATGTATCAATGTGAGATAAGTTTGCTATATTCTTAGGCTTATAAGTTGAAATTTGACCTCAAAATGTGAATCCTTGAATGGAAAACAACCATGTCCTTAACTTCAAATAATGAACCCAGGGTAGACTATACTTGATCTTTGAATCTGCCAGTTGTACTGCCTGGCTATGAAGGACGTCTGGAGGGCATCTTCTTTTGATCTTATAAGTTTGGTTTGTTTTCTGTCCTACATGTCTGATAATATGATCCTGTCACAGGGCTATCTCTGTTAAATATTTCTTTTACCTTTCGTATGTTAAAAAGGACTGTGCAATGTTATGTGTGTTTATATTGATTACTAAAAAGGCCACAGTGTAGCATTTGAAGGTTAAATGTAAGAATAACACTCTGTGAAGGTTAAATGTAGCTCCAGTGAATTATCAAATAACTTTGGAGTTTTTAATAAGTTCATTTTGAGTTTTGAGTCCCGCTGTTTGACAGTTTTAGCTAAGGTGTAGTTTTGTATTGAGCTTTAAAGTTTCCAGTCGACTTAATACTCCTTTTATACACATTTTAATACCAGACATATAGATACAAGTACTACAGTTACAAAATGGGTCAGTTTAGATAATGGATAATCCTCTCAGTTCTATAAGTTAATGTAATGTTATACTGACGTCAGGCCTACTGTACATGTTTTTGTAAGCCTTGTGGAAGGTATGTGAGGTGCTGTACTGTTTAGTCATCAACTCAGTGTGCAGTCGTTCCCATATATAATACTGCTTTATGGTGTGTAACTTAGCGTCCATACAAATACCGCAATGAAATTGGCAGAGAAGTTTTTAAACTTGGTGTAATCAAAATGACATGATAGCATTTCTTTGGGAGGGAAATAGAGTGTAGAAAATGTCATTCTCAAATGTTGTATAAATTACCCTAGAAAATGGCAGTGGAAAATTTCATCATATATTTTTTTTGGAATCGACATATGCAAATAGCTCATGAATCATGCTCATATTCCCACAGTCATTCTGGGCGTATGGAAATATCTGCAATCATAAAACTTATTTGTAGTGGAGGTTTTGTTAAAGGAACAAAATGAAATACGTCTTTATCCATTTTTGCAATAAAATTACTCTAGATACATATTATTAGCATCACATTTTTTCATTACTGTAGTGTGTATCTCATACAGTTATGAATAAATTATATGAAGTTTCTATACAAACTAGACCATTCCAGAGTTCAAAGATTTTTTAAGGGCGTTTTTTTTTCAGGTTGAAATTGAGAACCTGTCTGGTCAGTTAAAGGAAGTGTCCGAGGCTCAAAGGTCACTGGAGGTCAAAGTAGACAATGTCAAGTCCTTCGACAAAGAGGCATTCCTGGATGAATTGCAGAATCTGGGAGTTGTAAATGACCAGGCCAGGTATCAGACAAAGTTTGGATAAGGTGTTGAATGGAGTATCTAGTACAAAGAGGTTATCATATGACCATCGCCATATTGCTAAGATCTCTATATTAGCCCAAGGGTCCAGAGGCCCGAGAGCTCATATGTGTTGAGAGTTTATACAGGGTAGAAAATGGAAATGAACATATCATAAGGCCAAAAATAGTAATGTATATTCATTAACGTCACATCAACCCTGAATTTAGCCTGTAACGTTAACATTTCATTTGGTATATGATACACAATGATTTGGTATGTGATACACAATGATTTGGTATATGATCCACAATGATTTGGTATATGATCCACAATGATTTGGTTTATGATCCACAATGATTTGGTATATGATCCACAATGATTTGGTATAATTGATACACAATGATTTGGTATATGATACACAATGATTTTGTATATGATACACAATGATTTGGTATGTGATACACAATGATTTGGTATATGATCCACAATGATTTGGTTTATGATCCACAATGATTTGGTATATGATACACAATGATTTGGTATATGATACACAATGAGGAAACAGGGTAAGAAAAATAAAATCATTCACTCCCTTGGGGTGAGGTTTGGAATCTTCCCCCTCGGGTTGAGATTCCCCTATCTCACCCTCAAAGAGGTGAGAGATTCTATTATTCCAACACTGCATGGAGTAAGATGAAATTGTTAGGGTCAGAGGTAAAATCTAGGGTAGGTTTGGGAACCAGAAACATATAATTCTTTTTTGGCCTAACCTTTTTGTAAAAAAATATATTCTGTTCATATTTTAACATAATGTCAAATTTATCAGCAATGACAAAAAAACTATCAGCATGTAGTAATACAAATAATATATACTTCAGATGTGACTTTTCTGAAATGTGTTAACCAAATGTATTAAGCATATATGGCGCATTCTGGGTAGATATGGCATTTGCCGCGCAAATATGGATGGATTCAGGGATATGGCCTATGCACTACAAACACTATCACAGAAATAAAACAATTCACATCAAAGAGGACAAGTTTATGATAAATAAGATTTATATTGAATTTGTTATAAAAATATATGATAAATTTTCATTATTGTGAGACTAACTGTTCACCATTTCTTGCGGATGTATTTCTTACTTTCAGAGATTCAGTGAACTTTTATAAGCTTCTTGGTCTTGAATTTGAAATTTAAAACATCTGTAGTTTGATCATTATTTTTATGAATCTCAAATGATGATGCTTTTCCAATCTGCAGGTACCAGGTACCGACCAGTACGAGAAGTAGTGAGGTTCAGCCCAAGGATGTGTCCCCTCTAGTCCACCCCTATTTGGCCAGTCTCGCACAGGACAAAGGTAAAAGGCGGTGGAGGCAATGTTATGATTATTCATTAGAGTTAAAACCTTCACGCATTTGTCTGTGCAGGTTCAGCTGCAGACAATGGATACCTGGTGCATTAGTTTCAAAACAGTCTTCAAATGAAGATTTAGACATTATTTTTGTCATGGTCATGACTGCATATGATGGACTCAAATAATTCACTCAGATATCTCAATAAAAGTACATTTTTGTCAAGGGCAAAGTGAAATACATATGTGTGTTAATTCGACATTCACAATGAATACTGTATATTTTGTGTGCTGGATACTTGCATATGCCTTCATAATGATATTGAATTCTGTGTCCTAACAGAGGGAGAACAAGGCAGTTACATAATATCAAGGAGCACACAAATAAGATATATTTGGACACGTACATTACACTGTCATTTAATGGTATAAACTTGCTTAACTTTGACTTTCAAACTCTGACAATAGAAAGTGTTAAATGTGTCCTGATACACTTTGGCAAAAGCAGGTTCATTTTTAACAGTTAATCTTAATCTGTTAATCTACTTACCAACTTTAAACATCAAGAACTTATTCAGGCATGCTTCGACAAAATCTGGGGAGAAATGTTTACGTAATGTCAAAATATATTTAAGAGGATTTGATTGAGAACGTCTTTGTATTGTGTCCTTTAGGGGATGACTCGGACGCCCAGTCAGTGACGGCCCTGGCCTGTAAGAGTCTGAACCTGTCACAGGCATTACACGAAAAGTGCTTACACTTAGACTTGTCTGCCTCCAGTGATGATGATGAAACAATTCGCCATGCCCAGGTACAACCTCAGGTTGATCAAGTATTCCTCATTGCTGTATTTCCATTCCGTACTGTATTTCATGGCCAGTATATATAGTACTGTACATGGCTGTTATTACAACAATGCTCACATCATGCAGCATTCACAAGGCCTGGTTTTGATATTTATAATCATATTTCAAATGCTTTCAGGTGTTTTTTGTATTGACCTGAAGCCAGGCCCTGTGTTCACACACTGTTTGTCTTAAATGAGAACTTAAACATAGAATTAACACTGTAAACGAGAAGAAAAGAAAGAAAATGAAGGTCGGTCTAAGATTAGGTGCACAGTGTAAGGGAGATAAGTACAGAAATAACCTATCTACAATGGAAGGGAGATAATTACAGAAAAAAACACTAGTCTAATTAATCTACTAACTACACTATGTTGCAGAAAACATTTTAAATAGACCAAAAACTGCAGAAGTATGACAAATTCATTTAAATATTAACAGGTTTGACTGACATATGATTCTTTGTAGTTCTGAACTCAACATTTTTTGTTTTCAGAATGCAAGACTGGCACTACTCAACCCTGATACCATTCGTAAGTATCAGTATACATACAGTATATATATATATGGCTGGTGGTTCAGACACTATGTACTTTAGCTCACATGCTCTTTTAGAGATACAGGTATGCAAATTTGATGCAGTAAGGATTTCAGTGTATTTGTCAGACATTTTGTACCTGTGAAATGCATGTTGTGTAAATTATTTATTACATGTAACTGCAATAGGTGTTTTTTTCATGTTTTTCTTTCTTTTCAGTCTAATTGCATGACAGCTTGTTTTGTTGGTTCCACAAAGCCTAAATCCCTTTCACAAGTGCCTTTCTTGAAAACGTTCAACACTCTAAAAGCAAATCCAGACTCTTCATTTGTCACCGATGTTACTAAAGAAGCAAAGCTGTCTCATAATTTTAAAAGATAATATAAATTAATTGTGGAGCGGTTGAATTAATAGTTTTACAAAAACCTTTCATTTTCTCAAGAAGTTTCATCATTATAAAAATAAAACAATATCTAAAACACAAACCATTTACAACGCTTTATCAAATTTTTAAAATTTCCAATGTTCCTATTTATGTTGGTTTTATACAGGGTTAATTTTCCAAAATAACCAGATACATCTGTGACTATGTTCAATTTTCTTCGCCATTGTTTTGCCGGCTAGTTGTATGTAGGTTCCTCCTCCTGTGTACAGTGAGAGATTGGTTGTCTGGATTAGCTTTACAAATGTTGTTGATTTTTACCCTTCTCGTTGTTTACATATTTTCCTCTCCTTATATTCCTCCTTTCTCACCAAGCAGACCTTTCCGAGGCCAAAGCACACTTTTCTAAGAAAATCCCTCCACATGAGAAAGTTCTGGAAGAAGGTATGAAGACATGAAGGTTAAATCAATGCTAACCTGAAGCTAAAATTGTTAAATATGTATGATTGATGTTCATATCCACACATTACCACCTCATTACTCTTGTTCAATCACACTAGTGTAACAGTATATCAGACATGTGTATACAATAATATAGCTGCTGGGGGAAAAATTTTAAGTCCATTTACAGGTATATTTTTTCTTTAGTTTAAATAATTATGAAAATATTACTGATTACAATTTTACCTATAGTTTCTTTGTCGTTATACTGATCGTTAGAAGCTCGCTTCAACCAAGTGTTTATGTCTAAATAAACTTTATTTATTTTACAACAATTATGAAACAAGTTATTGCAACTTAATATATTAAACACTCTTGTTGGCCCGGATGTTAGCGCTCGGGAGTCTTAAGGACATATGTCTACCAGCCAATATGTCTACCATCTATCAAAATGTGAATGCAATCAAACAGATAATTGTGAGTTGAGTATAGACACGCCTCCAACAGAGTGTTCCTCATACCATTCTGGTGATAAGTTATAACAAACAGAAATTATTCAAATTGACAAAATAATACACAGGAAAGTTAAAAATGTTTCATCAAACAAATTGCTAATATTAAAACACCTTGTATCTGTCATTATCTCATACCTTGTCTCATTAAGGTCAATGTCATTTGTGTCACAAACTATTTGTAGTTCAGAGAGAGAAATGTGCCCAGGAGGCCATCAATGCTGAGAGATCCTACTGCTCACAGTTATGGACCCTGATTGACGCAGTTATACGACCCCTTCGCCAGGAGGAGCTCATGGCACAACGAGATCTCAACACAGTCTTTCCGTCATATCTTCCACACCTGTATGAACAGCACTGTATTATGCTACGAAAGATGGAGGAGCGTATGCTTAAGTGGAAGTACACTGGCTTAATCGGAGATGTATTTGTCAAGTTTACAGACGCCCAGGAGGTAAAATGTTGATCCCCTTTTGAATGACTCTTTGTTCTTGATATAATCAAATGTAAATTGCTTACACTGAACATATCATATGCTTAAAGAAATCCTTTGCAGTAAAGAACTTTGATCTAGAATTAAAAAAATTCAATTGTTGAAGTATCTTATAATTAAATTCAAAAAGTTATCCCTAGTATTAAATGATTTTAAAACAAAGAGTAATAAATGAACATGAACCCATTTTTATGGAGTAATCTTTCATAGGCGAGTCCTAAATCAGCCCGGCTTTGTTTTTGTGATTTATGTACAAGTTTACTTTTGTCCAGGGGGAGGGTCTGTCTGTGTACAAAGACTACATCAACGATTTCCCTACAGTGATTAGTAACATGAACTACTGGTTCACACAGTCTGCCCGCTTCAGAGATATTATGGGGGTAAGTAGAATCGCTTGTTCACAAATTTCTCCTGTTAAGGGACAAGTAGTCAGTGGGTGAACTGTCTGCCCTATTCCTGAACAAGGGGTTAATTAAAAGCCAGAGAGATACCTGTAAATGAATACAGCCATCTTAACCTGCTAGCTATGGATTACTCTAGCTCGTTATCCTGTGGTATATTCTGACTGTCATACAGCTATTTTTTTTGGCAATTTAAAACTTAAATTGGTTTTCCAACTTGAAACTCTCATAACTTCACTTTCTGATACAATTTTACAATGTGTTTTTTACTCCATGATTTGACAGACAATTATCAACCTGCTACCTGAAAATGTTTGAATTCAATTACATACCCACAGAATATACAATTTCTTTTTCCTTTGTTTTAAATGTTGGCAGAACTCTGTGTTATTTCCGATGTAATGTTTATTTCTGTGGTGTGGCCACTTAATGACAATAGGAAAGATATGCACAAATATATAGGTAAATGTCTGCCAAATGAAGTACATGTACATGTATGATATTTGATCTACAGTGCTGTGAATCTACCGGTCAATTTTTTTTGGTTTTAATTCAGGCATAAATCTACGGGGATTTAGTGTCTTGAAACATTAAAAATCAATAGTGTAAATTTAACAATACTCTCGATCAAAGAACAGCTAATTAATTGAGGTACCTATAGTGGAGATATTATGTCTTGTTCGTCTGTATATCACACTCCTGGTCTCTACTCTAGTAATAGTATTCTGTTGAGTTTAGAACAGTATTTGGTTGAGGTTGACTTACCCTGATAATATTTTGTTACAGAGCTCCAGCTTGGCTACTTCTAGTGTGATTCCCTTACTGCTGGCTCCCCTACAACAGATACCCAAATACTCACTCCTCATCAAGGTAAGCAGAGTAGTCTTACCTTATATATATAAACCAAGCCCATTCATGTATACAGTTCAACTGGTTTGTCTGTTTTTAAATGTAACATTTCCTGGTATAAATCCTGGAGGACCTGCAAATGTTTATACAGGCCTTGCAAAGCTTTGTCAAGGCTCGCCTAAAAAAAAGTACCATCATATTACTAGGTCCAGCTTTATTTCATAAACGAACAATTCTGGTCCATCCGGTTCAACCGTTTGGATCACGATAAACAAATGCGGACCTCTAGAGTAAATTTTATTATGTTTTACTCTTGGTTGGGATAATTTTGAAACCCAGGATGCTTTGTCTTTTATTGAAAGTAAATAATTAAGAAAAAATTATCTGTAATTCGAAACTTGTTTAAAGCAAAATGAAGGTGATAAATCTTGTAAGGACTGTGTCTGGACCATAAAGACACTATAAAAACAGCATATACAGTGAAACGTGCCTCAACTTGAAATCATGAGGAGAATATTGTGTGTTCAGAATAGACAGGTGCTTGGATATAACAAATTCCATTAACAAATATAGTTATTTGTATATAAGACTTGCTGAGATTTATACATGTTTCAGTATGAATAGGTTGTATTCTGTCAGTCTTATTTAAATGACATAATGTTCAGTACATGTAGTAGGATTATGACTTCTGATTGTAGAACATGCTTAAACACACGGAACCCGACCACCCAGACCGCTACTACCTAGACACCGCTCTGACTCGGCTCAAGAGTTTCCTAGGCATGATGAACAATGACCTTGAGCATGCCATGCAGTTCATGAATGTCAACAAGGATCCTATTGATAGGTATGGCCGACTTTATTAGACACTGATCTCTTTGTTTTCATACTTTAATCTTTATTAATGCATAAATAACTTTAGTTAAGTTCTATAATCCAACAACATTGGTTCTGAGTACATATTCAATCAACCTTAGTTCCCAGTAGAGAATCTTGCCACTCTCATTTCCAGTAGATATTCCTATCATCTTAGTCAATCAGTCGACATGGTTTTCTGTAGATATTATCCAACCACCGGTATAAGTGATGGCTGGATTGTCGAGGCTTGATTGGAGGATATCAAAAAAAAAAAGTTTTATTGTGGGAGTTATGAAATGATCAGACATCTTTGTTTTGGCAAGGCTCTGCCTGGCTAATAATAAAACTTGGAGATGAATTTTACAATTCCTGTGTAAAGTTGATATAGCATCAAGATCCTTTTAATCATATAACCAAGAATGTATGCGAATATCCACAGAAAAGATATTTTTGTGACCATCCCCAAGTCTTTAATATCACCAATTTTACTTCTTTCTATTGTTGTCAATGTGACATCACAATTAATGCCATGATGTCACAGGTTTTGGCAAATTGTGATATCATAATAGGTGTAAATACATGTCAAAGGTAATATGTGAAAAAAATGACATCATGGTGTTCACACCATTACATGGAAGTTAAGTGATAATTTCTTGTTTTATCGAGTGGTAGGTAGTCAGTATTGCGCGATGTTGTCAGCTGAGATTGTAGAGTAATTATTATTTGTCGCTGATTTAGTAGTGTAGTACTAGTTTAGTAGAGTATTAATTGTCACTGAGATAGAAGAGTTGTTATATGAGATTAAGATGTACTGTAAATCAATAATATATTTTCACATGTCATCTCAAGTTAATTGGAAAACTGTGGGTATATATCTGACAATTATCTATCTGTTAGTGTTATTTTGTGTGGTTTCAAATCCTCAGATGACATTTGTTCCAGTTGACATATATGAAATACTGAAAATGTATTGATGAAATTAAATGATTTACAGTATCCATATACAGTGCTTCATTAGTAGTTTGCCCTTTTTCCTAATAACACAATAAAAAAATGCATATATATATATGCCTACATCACACACACCCTTTACTGCTCATACCTGACTTTACCATACTTCTTATTTACACCTTATTTTACTTTCGGTAACAGGCTTTGCAGCGTTTAACAGTATAATAGGCCCATGACTACACCTTAACAATAGTGACATATGACATTGTGACTTTAACAATATGTACTCAACAGGTCTCGTGATTATGGCAATTCCATACGATCTCGTTCGAGCGGCAGTAGCTGCGAAGCGAACCAAGTGTCAAGTGCAAGAGACAGTGGTATACATTCCAATGGGGAAGATACTTTACTACGGCAGCCTGCCTCTCCAAACACCACCAGGAGGTACTAGTAGTGCAAACACCAAATACGTTACATACTGAAGATGTGTGGACTGAATATCAAATATACATGTACCAGTATTGGTCTAAGGGAGATAACCCACTAGCATTTGCTTTTACTGGCATGCTTCTGTATTCTAATATTTCCTAAGTTTTGTTGCATAGTTTTGTTCCATAGCATAGTTCATTTTAATATTAACAATGGGAGATCTGCATTACCGGTGTAATGTTGATTTTATCTATTCTTGCGACACAATGTCAAAAAACATCAATGTATATTTATATAATTAATAGAAATATTGATGTTACTGAACTTTTATCACTTTTAAAATTTCCAACCTGCTGTAGTAAATTTATTTATGAATGACTAGAAAAGATAGGAAACATCAACAGATAATTATCTTTATAATTATTTTTTTCATACACATTTTTCCAAGCAACAGTAAGTTGAAAAGAATTAAGCTTTTATTGATTTTTGACAACTTTGCACATAAAAAAGGGTGGTAATTAGTCCCTGGGTTTATTTTTCAATTCTTATAACCACTCCTGGCATTCAATTTTCTGACAGACTTGTGATTGTATGGCTACTTGAAAACTTCCTTAATGAAGCCACATTCTTCATAGTTCATCAGTCAACTCCTTGTCAGGTGACATAAATGTGACTATAATAAGACGTTAATATATTTACAGTATTTATCTTGTTTATAAAAAATTCCTAATGGTTTGTAATTTATCATATTTAAATTCATAGTTCTGATGAGTGTATATTAATAAATGCTTCATAAATGTTGATATATATGTTGTCATCTGAATTCATATACCATGCTACTCGAGTTGTTTACAGTATTCGAACCATGCTCTCATTCTTGTTACAGGTATGTCTTGCAGGTGTTGCGGGACCGTCGTGAAAGAGAGGCTGTAGAGAGTCTCAATGAGATCAGAGAGAGACCAAGGTCAGCCATTCCTGTGCGGTCACATGTTCTGGGCTACGGAAGCCACCCTGACCTTACAACACGTGAACTCACAGAGTTTGTGTCAGGAGGGACCAGGGACCTTCCATCATATGCTCCGTACCAATCTGCAAGCAAGATGTACTCCTCTATGACCAAAATTCAGCAAACAAGAGATCCACCAAAAAGTCCAGAGAAGCCTCCTCGCAAGATAAAGATTCGGAGACGACCAGATAGTCAGAAAAGTTCAATGAGTTCTAATTCTAACTATCTCAGGCCATTGACACCTCACCTTCCATTTAACAGTACATCGAGACAGGATGTTTACAATGAGAATGACATTCCACGCTCTCACTCTGCAAACAGAAGACTGCGAAGTAACCGACCAGCTTCATCTATAGATTTCACAGGTGGTGATTCAGAAAGGAGAAATAAAATGATTGAACAAATTTCTTTTCATCCCCCTGTACTTAGCACTCCCAGGGATCACGCATCTGACGGGAGGAGTCATAGTGAACTTCATTTATCTCTTCAGCGTCTCATGGCAGAGAGGGATCGGTCAGATGCTCTGGAAAATGACCGCTACGATAGACCAGTCAACCACTTCCAACCACTAGATGTAAGCTCTGTTCACTCATCAGAAGTGAGAGAAAGTTATCCTCAGCACAATCAAAGGAGCTCAAACTATGGACAGGAAATGCATCAGCAGCAGGAGGACTATGGGATATTCGGGGATGATGATGAGGAGGAAAGCTATCAACATAGTCCTCGAGACATTGTGACTTCTCAAAGATCAAGGCCACGAGACACTGAGGTGTTGGGAAGTGATAGGAACTTTGTTTCGGCAGACAGTGGTCTACATTTATCAAGATCAGGGAATGTAGGCCCCAAGGTAATGAGTGGAGAGCAACTGGCAGCATCGCTAGCCCTCAGTCTTGGTGACCAAATCTCAACAGAGGAGGAGGATTCTACCTCCAGTCATGACCATGCACATCTGAACTCTCATGGCCAACAAGGATCAATGCATCTATTATCTAGCCAGGCAGTTAGCAGTAATGAACAGTTAGATCATACACCACGGGCTACAGAAAGGGTGGAAAGTTCAAATGGGAGCCATAAGCTAGAGCCAAGGAAACCTGCAAGGGGAGTAAACTCTGTGAAAAGGAGCTCAGTGCAGAGTAGTTACGATAAAGGTGAAGTGGTCGGTGACAGTGTCATCCATGTTATAAATGACAGCAGTGATAACCCAAGACTCTCTCATCCAAGTGGTATACCGATAGACCTGAAGACAGACAATAATATCAACCAAAGTAATATTAACACATTAGAGAGAGCAAGGAAATATGTTGTTCCTGCTGAAAAACCATCAGAGGATACTATGCCAAGACAACAAATACCAACCAAATTACGAACAAGTTTTTCTGACATTAATAGAAATGAATTGAAAGTAAGTAGTGTTGACAGTAATAATGTAATAAAACGAACCGCATTACCGGTCGCCCAACAGTCTCAACGAACTGGTTTGTCTCCTAGTAATGCTGATGGGACACACATCCCCACCATCAGAGGTCGCCGTGGGTCAGCAAGTGTGGAGAGAACTCCCAAAAAGTTACCAGTGGTCATGGGTCGACTTAGTCAGCCCAACCTCGAGCAGATGACGGCAGGGGCCAAGTTTCCATCTCCTCCAGTCAGCCCCACAAAGATGACAGCTAAGGACACAAAGATCCCTCTTTATACCCCTAACAGGGCTAAGAAGGACAGAGCTCCTATGTCCCCTAGAGACCCTATGTCAAAGTCAAATGAGGACATTTCCAAGCTCAAGAAGAAGACGGGGGGGACTGCTTTCAAGCAGTCCATCAAGAACTTCTTTGGGAGGAAAAGGTAAAGAAATTTTAATTATAAGGATAGCATATTATTTTTTTCATTTCTATCAGGTAACGGTGTTTGTATATATCTGTTACACAAGCTTGCATTATTTTGGTTTTCATGAAACTTATTTTGGTACATGTGGTTGATATGATATTTGTGTATTTTTGTATGTATATATATTTGAGATGAAGGTAATTGGATAGTTACAGCTACATGGATTTGAAAATGAATCTGCATGATTTCTTGTTCGTTTTTAGCAATAAGAAACCCTAGCACCTGTCAATGATCTGCATTCATTCTGCATGCATTTCCACCTGTTTTATCTTAGAAAACTTTCCTCGCATATACTTCCATTGATCATGACATCATTGTGTTTACAATTAGCAATATGTCCGTCTTCCAAGCAACAGTAAGTTGAAAAGAATTAAGTTTTATTGATTTTTTTCCAATTTATTTTTCATTTTCATTGTGCATTCTTTGTAAAGGCCTGCTGCTGGTTTTGAAGACACTTCAAATGTTGAGCTCGTATGTATTGTTGTAATATAGATTTAATCAATGCTCTGTATTAACCCTCTGCCTGTGTAGACAGAAGGCGTGGTCTTATTCTGATACCTCACCATTCATTTCAAGTCTTCATATTAAGTGCACTTACATTACAGAAACTAATAGTGTTTCATTTTTATTTTCGTTCTTAAGACTTTTATTGTATCGAATAAATAATGACAACTTTGCATTCAGAAAAACGTAGAACAACCAACCATATGAAGTTGTGAAGTGCTACAGCTGGAAATTGCTTTTGTAGAGTTTTTGCTCAATGAGAAGAAATATATGATATACACTGATTTCAGTGACACTTCATCAAATAATATTCCTTTATTAATGAATCATATTTTGTTTTCAACAAATGAGATAGTGCACTTATAGAAGTATACCTTATTATGTCATGTACAGTATTTTCAATCGCTCAGTGCTAATTATAACTGTATCAGATATATTTAAATGAATGGTGATGTATCAGAGGATGAAAAAAGTCAACATTTACATTGCCATTTCATTGTGTGACTTAATCAGAAAAGAGGTGTGTGTGTCCCGGGTATGTAGCTACATTAGTAGAAATGTATTGGTGATTAAGGTTGGTGTCGACTGTTTACCTGTGGTAGTGTGTTGTGTTTGAGACTTGTGGAAAAGCTGTGTGTCCACCGGATAGCTTTGGTAGTGTGTTATGTGTGAAAGATATATCATGGGGGTTTTGTGTGTCGACTGTTTAGCTTTGGCAGTGTATTGTGTATTAAGACTTGTGGAAAAGATGTGTGTGCACAGTACTAGTTTAGCTGTGGTAGTGTGTTGTGTTTGAGACTTGTGGAAAAGCTGTGTGTCAACTGGATAGCTTTGGTTACAGTGTGTTGTGTGTGAAAGATATATCATGGGGGTTTTGTGTGTCGACTGTTTAGCTGTGGTAGTGTGTTGTGTATTAGACTTGTGGAAAAGATGTGTGTCAACTGGATAGCTTTGGTAGTGTGTTGTGCGTGAAAGATCTATCATGGGAGTTTTGTGTTTCGACTGTTTAGCTTCGGCAGTGTATTGTGTATTAGTCCTATGGAAAAGCTGTGTATCAACTGGATAGCTTCAGTAGTGTGTTTTGTTTGAAAGATATATCAATGGCAACTTTTGCGTCCACTCAATATGTCTGTGGTAGTGTGTTTGATTTGAAATGCCTGTCCTGGAATGTATGTGTGTCCACTGTTTAGCTAGGGAAGTGTGGTGTGTGTGAGACTTACGTAAAAGCTGTGTTTCGTCAGTATTACTTCAGACGTGTGTTGTGTTTGAAAGATTTGTGGCAAAGCTGTGTGTTCACTGTTGTTTGGTAGTGTGTTGTGTGTGAAGATAAAAGTTGTTTGTGGAACTACTGGTAATAAACAGAATGAATTTCTATTGTAGAATTTTGCGTGCTGCTTCTGTATTATTAATAGTCGCTAGCATGTTGGACGCTTTACGTTTAGAAAAGTTTCTTTCTATCCCTTACCTCCCTTTTACTTTTTTTTAAGTCGTGTTATTTTCTCCTTTTCACCTCCTTGGTATCGATGGTGGTGATCTAGCATGTGTTTGGAACCTGGTAGTTGGTGCTAGCACTCTGTTTCCTATAGTATACCTTGTCTGTTGTGTTAAGTCTATGTCGAAGGGAAACTAAAACTTCAAATGTAGTCGACTTATCGATCAACAATAATAATATTAAAGGCAAATATATCATAAATGTTTGACTTTCGTATTTTTCAGTGTAATTTGTTCTACCTCTTGATTTACACGTGAAAAATAAGCATCAGGCTAGGTGTGTTTCGGTCTTCTTTAAATTCAGTATGTCGATCATGCAACCCGTTAATGCCTTGTGCACTCCTCCATACACAAACTATTCTGAAACATGATTATTTGTATGTTCTCTCATGATTGTAATTGTATTCTTTTCTAAATTTTAGCGAAAGACTTAGGTAAAGATTCTTTGCCAAAGATAATCGTTCCGATCACTTTTTCCGATTGTTCAAATTCATTGTTGTAGCACGTGTGATACTAACACTCAGAAACAACTCACAATTACTTACTGTTATGGTTGTTTGTTTCACAAACACACTGTGAAGACATTCCTTCCTTAAGGCTTCAGGGTGTGGAGAATGTTTTGTTGTTTCGACTTTTCTTCTTGGAGAAACCTTTTTTCAGACGTCTCATCATTTGAGCAACCATATTGCGATTGAAATATAAACACTGGGATAAGTTTGTAAACTCTCAATTAAATGGAAACTACTTCATAATTTCATTGAGAAGCTTAGTAAATTCATGACATAATTTGCATGAAGCTTTTATTGACTAGGAAGCTTTCACACAACTAAATTGTCACAGTTTTTAAAGATGTTGAACTCACAGATTTATTGATATTCACAAAGTCTTTAAAACCACCTGTTCACATTAGTCAAGTTACAGCTTAGAAAGTGTGAGGTATGGATGTTAGACCTGCCTTCTAGGATGTGTGCATTCTGTATGGTTAGTGATCGTGGAATTCTATATTCTAGACAAACTGTGTTTCTCGGTCTATTCATTTACAAAACAATTTAGTAGAAAAGACATGCTAACCGTTTCAGTTTTTTGGAAATTGATAAATTGCTTCGTTAAAGTAGGTTTTATAAGTTTTACGATTAAATTCAGATAATACAGCTTATTTGTCGATAGTTTCGCATGGAATGTTACCAGTGGAGTTACACTTGTTGCTCTTCTTCTAGAAGGACATGGGTTTCTGCGTCTGCAGTGTTTTGAGGGTTCATTACGTCTTTCACTTTGTTCCGGTGTTGTCTCGATCTCGCTTAACTTGTTGTTCTTTGTAAGCTCTTGGATTATGATTAGTTTGCCCCGCTGTTGTTACTTTACTACTGTATTGTCTTGAATACATGACTATATGAGATTATCTGGTAATTGTAGTGGTACTTTAAGAATACAGAAGCTCCAAAATATCTTAACATAATTTGTTTCGAAATATTAAAGTCTCCTTCCAAATTGATCAGACAATCTTTTTCACATTAAATGGTAGCGGGCATTCTGAAGAATAGTAAACAGAAAGCTAGTATCATATATCGAGATAATTGAAGTCTGGTTTGACACGGTCCCATTTTATAAAGCTGAACATTTTTTCCCCTGAAGTGTGAATTATATTTGAATGCACACATCTTTTTGTCTGTATAAACCTCTACACCTATGCTGTATCCTATGATAAAGTAAAGCTTATACTCTTGAATTCTGACATGGAATGTTGTAACCAGCGAATATCATGAGTATGTGTTGTACACTAATTAACGAGCCATACGTATGGCCGTAAGTTATTTCGTTGTAGAATTCAACTATATTTGCATTACCGAAGCCATGTTATTAAACGATCATCATTATCAAGAAAAATCAGAACTATCACATCAGTTATATGACTAACATATTCATTATTAGAAATATGCAATATATGTTTTCATCAGTAATATTTTATAAAAAAAAAATATCCAGTTTTCATTCAATGTTTATTATGACCGTGTTAATGTAAATCATATGACAACTATATTATTTTCAAAAACACTACGTTTATCAAGGTTATTTCATTTATGTATTACATCGGACCCGCATGAGAACAGTTTTATACCTGTTATACGAGAGCTACTAGCTTAAAAAAACTGTTCTTAGAGCATGTTTCAGACATTTTGGAAAAGTGGTTACGCATAACTTACGGCAGAATGTTAATTGACTTAACTTACCATTAAAGAGAAGGTCCACATTTTGGAACATTTTGAGGGAGAAATTAACAATTTATAAATTATGAGCCTCTCATTATCCTTAATATATTTAAACATCTTGACCAATGACTGTGTTTAAAAAGGTCTCTCACAAGATACATTTTATATTTGTTCACAGGAAGAAGGCCAAGTATGAGTTCCAGGACACGGACTCCTACACAGATATCAATGGATGTCATGATGGTGAGGTTCAAATCCAGGTGATACGGGACGCAGATGAGGACGATGCAGAGTATAGCGAGGAAAATATTCAAATAGCAACAAATTTCTTCCCAGCAACGTCATCGTATGAACTCGAAAATTCCTACGATCATGAAGAATCGGCCAGTAGTACAGTGTGATAAACAAAGTACACATACCGTGTGGTTAACATTGAACAAATAGTGCGGGTAAATGTCCTATAAACAGCATTGTCAAGGTTAGCATGTAAGCATTATTTCATTGTCATAAGGAAACTGAATATATCATGGAATCACTTGTTGTATAGGTCTTGTTCCACATGGTTAGTTGTCTAGCTCCAACATACTTGTCACAAACTCGGCATCATAAGGGTTCACACACGAGCACTAAGACTTTCTCAAAGACAGAAGCCGAAAGTCGCTCATAGACCGTTACTCGAAAAGTGCCAGTCGTGTTAAGAACATTATGTTCTATGGGACAAGACTTGATAAAACCTCAACTAGGAAAGGATAAGTTTTGTGAGGACCACATGCTTTTGAGCTCCAGTCTTATCAAGACCAACATATAACAAAGACTTCTTTTTCGTAAGACCACAACCTCATATCTCAGAAGTGCTAGTCTACAAATAGACTAACAAAGATCACGATTTCGTATGTGCATTTTACTAATCCTGCCAATACCACGATTCCTCAGCTTTACATAATAAGACCAGATAAATGTATAACTGCGTCTTTAATTTATTGGTGTTTCATTATTTTTTATTTTTGTACAAAAGAAAGTAACATATCTAGAACATTTTGAGAGGCGAAATTATCTACTAATAGCACAGCATCATAGAAGATTTGTAATACACAAATGATGTAAAGTCTTTTCGTGAAAGTTGTCAGGATATGTATATGATGCAGGATCTACATGTGAAAGTTATGGGCCACTACAAAAGCCTTTTTCATCAATTTCGTAAGACTGAAATGCGAATAAAAACCTGAGAATTTTGTATCATGGGTATCATGGGTGTTGGTGAGTGTGTCTGTATGATAGGTATTCTGTTTTCATGCAAGGCTACTAACCTTTTCTGTCATCAATCATTTTACAAAAAAGGTGCGTTTTATTAGCTTCAGATTGGGAGAAAGACGGCCGAAAACGATCATTTGATGAATGAACACACCGCTGAATTATTAAATACCAAAATCCATGTTATCAGGGACGTATAATGCTCTACATACTGTCCCTGATGTTATATATCATTTTATGAAACTCATCGAATATTTAGTAAAAGGTTTTTTAGCTGAACATGTTTGATAGTCATTAAAACGTTGTTCAAATGCGTGTGATTATTAATTGACAATCTCGTGTGAATATTAATTGACAATCTTGCGTGATTATTAACTGACAATCTCGCGTGATTATTAATTGACAATCTCGCGTGATTATTAATTGGCAATCTCGTGTGATTATTAATTGACAATCTCGCGGCGTGCATTCATTTTCAATTGAATAATGTCACACATTGTATGCACATTTGTTGTAATATCACTTCCGTGACCATTTTGTCTTTGTACGGTGGTATTGCTGACCAAGAGCATGACTCCTTAACCCACCCTACCCACTGCTTGGCATTGTACTTGACATGTCCATCTTTGAATTTCGTGTCATTTGATAAAATATACTTTCAAAGGTGGACTTGAATAAATCGTCCTTTCGCTACTGGTATCATTTAGACATATTTCATAGGGATTGGGCACAAGTTCTGACAACTTACTAGCCCCTCCCCCGACAGTATAATATACAATTGCTATAGATAGCACGTGGGTACAGGAGATTTGAACATGCATTCATTATAATTGACATGTCACTGCTATGTTCGGAAGGTATCAATAATTAAAATGTATTGGCTTATAATCGGAAAAACATCATAATAAGTTTGGGAAAAAGTACCGGTACTATAGTAAGTTTGACGCTTCATTACTCTATGTGTGAAAATATATTACCATATATACATGTAACAACCTACGGCCCTTCGACTATATGAGCCTGTACCTCGTGTACGATTCTATATTGATGAAAGGTATTGTCGGGGTATTTGCTTGTGCTAATTATTTCTACGTCAGCACACTGCTCTCTCCCTCAATCTTCCTTTTCCATTCCATCAGTCTATCAACCCATACACATGTAGACAACGACGTTTTTGTTGGAACGTTGATATGGGTATTTGCTCAGTGATACTATTTCATTAAGTGCAAAAGGTGTAAATGTAAATGACAAAGAGATCAAGGATACGTTGACACTTTCCAAACATACATGTTACAGTGTGTTCATTAGTTTTGTCATCAGTGTGTGGATCGATCCATCATTAACACGTTCCACCATACAAAGTCCAGCCTGTGACGTGATCCAGTTAATTGTGTCTCTGTTGGCGGAAGTCCAGCGTGTGACGTGATCCAGTTAAGTTTGTCTCTGTTGGCGCTATGTGTTGCTAATCATCATACATCTTAACGTTTTTGTTTATTTCTTCCATATCTAAATATCAGATATGAGATATACTTACTGCATTGTCTCATCCAAATCTCTAACGTCAATAGATGTCATTTGTGATCTAATACTCGGATGAATTCGAAGCTGTTTGGTGTAAAGGTTCATTGTAAACATATTACAATTAATTCATGTACATACACATTTTGATAGATGAAATTTACATAATGTCTGAAAATTGTCTAACTCTATATTTTAAGATATACCGTGCTAATGATGCTATTTCACCAATATTAAGCTAGAGTGTGTATACGTATTGGATAGACATAGCCAATGCTGTGTCGAGGTCAATCAAGATGAAATATCTATTATTTTTGGAATTTACATTATTTACAAATGTATGTTATAAACTTCAGTAAAAAAGGGAGATATATATTTTTAAATGGAAATAAAAAAACAGCTGATATTCAGATGAATGCCAAAGAGTGTCTTTATAAGGTACAATATGATTTACTCTTTACATTGTTCGTCATAATAGAGGATTTTTTTCAAGAATTGTATTATGCATAACTGTTATGTGTCTTGGATGCTGGTATTATTTTGTTACTATAGATCCAAAATGAGGAAAAAGCTTATGCCAACTCATTAACTTATCTTATATTGAATAAAAGTATCAAGAAAACACTGTAGCTTTTTAGTTTTGATTTAATAATAATCACATTTTTGTTTTAATGATCCAGTTATCATTGATGAAGACTTTTCTGGTCGCCTTCATGATCTCATAAGGAGGTATGCTATTTCTTTGTTCGATATGGAGGTCGATGTTTTCCATTTTGCTCACCAAAGTGCCTTGCGGTTTTGTCGCCACTACTCGAGTTTTCGATGCGATGATGTGGCATTACTAGGATTTGACATCGATTTACGTGGAGGATGACGTCGATGTGCCATCACTAGGATTTAATATCGATTTACGTGGAGGATGACGTCGATGTGACATCACTAGGAATTGATATCGATTTACGTGGAGGATGACGTCGATGTGACATCACTAGGATTTGACATCGATTTACGTGGAGGATGACGTCGATGTGACATCACTAGTATTTGATATCGATTTACGTGGAGAATGTCGTCGATGTGACATCACTAGGATTTGATATCGATTTACGTGGAGGACGACGTCGATGTGACATCACTAGGATTTGACATCGATTTACGTGGAGGATGTCGTCGATGTGACATCTCTAGGATTTGACATCGATTTACGTGGAGGATTACATCGATGTGACATCACTAGGATTTGATATCGATTTACGTGGAGGATGACGTCGATGTGACATTACTAGGATTTGACCTAGATTTACAATTTACATGGCGGGTGACGTCGATGTAACATTACTAGAAATTGACCTAGATTTACAATTTACATGGCGGGTGACGTCGATGTAACATTACTAGAAATTGACCTAGATTTACAATTTACATGGCGGGTGACGTCGATGAAACATTACTAGAATNTACTAGGATTTGACCTAGATTTACAATTTACATGGCGGGTGACGTCGATGAAACATTACTAGAATTTGACCTAGATTTACAATTTACATGACGGGTGACGTCGATGGAGTAGAATATGCCTACCCTTCCGCAACTTCTGGACTTAATTCCCTTGTACCTTTTCAATGGTTTCCATTTAAATATTTTCTATGTTTTGATTTTGCCCTAGTTGTTGACACTTTGTTATTTCTTGTTTTCTTTTTCAATCATAACCAATAGAAATACGAAAACAGGAAACACGTATTTGAAAGCGTTGTTCATAAATCCAAAGTGAAACTTTGTTCAATTATAATCTATTTATAAATTGATTTTTAATAAGAAAACAAATGTGTGTAAAACATTAAAACAAACACACACGCGCACACCCACCCGACCACATGTCCCTGTCTGAAGCCATCGGATGTTATCCACTGATTAAATCGACGAATTAAAAGAAAACGTTTTTCGAATATGTGTTTATCTGAAATCAAGAGTTAAACCCCGTTCATTGCTGGGGCGTACACATCCACTCGTGTCCGCACAACAAGCTTGCGCTGCTACACCAAGTACACACGTTCGGTATAACTGATGTATTATAACACTTCTTCTTCTTCCTTGTATTTGCCTACTTCAACTGGTTGAAGATGCTGCAAAGTTTTGGAGTGCGCACTATACACGTGAGGACAGGTTTTAATGATCCAGTATTGGTTACATTGTAAGTAATATATTATAGACCGTTTTTACCTAGCTTATGTTTTATAGCAACTTGTCAGTTATCTTAAATACTGTAACACAGCTGAGATAATGCTATTACACCGCTCTTACGATTACCCGATATGGGATAACATATTACCGATTTGCTTATGAAGGCTTATACCATGCCGCTTATCACATATATTGAATAACCATATTTTTATGATATTATATCCGCATTCTCGTTTGACTTATATTACAATATATTGTTCTATTTTGTTACAACAAAGCTCCAAAAACTACCCCTGCAGTCATAAATGAGGTTAATTGAATCCTTATGCTGAATCGGTTAATATCTAAATTTTTACCAATCAGAGGCTGAAGCGGCCATCTTGTTTGCGAAGCTGTGCACAAAGATGGCTTGCACATCTAGGCATGCGTCCCACTCACCATGTAAAGTTTTACTATTATCTGCCTTCTTGTTTCAGAGCGGGGGAAGTAGAGGATAACTTATAATAATAATATTATACAACATTTATATAGCGCCCTATATAATTTGTAAAAATATTCTAAAGCGCTTTACAACATATAGATAATAGTATTAGTTATAATTGTGAAACAAAGGCTTACAATCACCTTTATACATTAAGCAAGCAGATAATCATCGCAATATGCACATAAATGAATGAATAAAGGGTGGTATTTGCAAAGAGCCTAAAATGCAGACGTGAAGAGGTGAGTTTTGATGTCCCTCTTGAATTTAGCCAGGGAATTTGATTTTCTAATAGCAGATGGTAAGCTATTCCACAACGTAGCCGAAACCCTCCCAAAGCACCGGTTTCCATAGGTCACAGTACGAGATTTTGGGACAAACAACAATGATTCTGACTCCGACCGCAGTGATCGTGACGCCTGATACTGGGGAGATGTTGCATTCAGTGCCTTGTATATGTACACCAAACTTTTGTACTGCGACCTGTATCGTACAGGTAACCAGTGCAATGAATGTAGTACATGTGTGATGTGCTCTCTCTTTCGAGTACGAGTAACCAGCCGTGCTGCAGTGTTTTGGACCTTCTGCAGACGACTAGTTGGTTTGTCAGATATACCACAGAGCAGGGCGTTACCATAATCCAATCGAGAGGTAACAAGTGAATGCACCAAAATCTTGCATGCATCTGCAGTTATAAACTGCCGGATACAGCCGATGATTCTGATCTGGTAGTAACATGATTTTGTAATAGCGTTCACTTGTTTCTCCATGTTCAGTAAACTATCAGAGTTTATCCTTAGGTTTTTAACAGCTGAGACAGTCTCAATAGTTCCGGCACCGACCTTGAGCTGGGGAGCCATTGTTTTCTGACACTTTGGGGATAAGACGATTAGTTCCCTCTCTTCCTGATTAAGCTTTATCATGTTGGCGTTCATGCAGGTACTGATATCTGTCAGACAAGCTTCCAGATTTTCTGAAATTGTATCTGAATTGTATCTGAAACTGTCCTGTGTTTTCATGACCATGTAAATGTGTGTGTCATCAGCATAGCAATGATAGCGAAGGCTATGGCGACGACAAATCGCTCCGTTCGGTTTAGAGTACAGGCAATATTTTCGTGGTCCTAACACCGACCCTGGAGGAACCCCGAAATCTGGTACTTTGTCATGTGATTTTGTAGATCCGATGGCAACACATTTTCGTTGTTCACTTAGATAAGACTGTATCCAGCATAGTGTGGTATCAGTCACTCCATAAGAGTACTCCAGACGTTTATAAAGTATGCCATGGTCGATGACGTTAAATGCAGCTGACAAGTCCAGCATGACAAGCACCGCTCTCCACTTGTTATCCAATGCAGAAGCTATGTCATTATGTACACGTAGGAGGGCCGTCTCAGTAGAGTGTTCCATGCGGTAGGCCGATTGCAGATTGACATGGAGACTGTTTGCATGGAGATAAACCTCTAAACGCCGGGACACAACCTTCTCCAAGATCTTAGACAGAAAAGGCAGATTTGATACTGGGCGGTAGTTCTTCAACTCCTCCTTGTCCAGTCCAGGCTTCTTCAACAATGGTCTAATATGTGCCTTCTTGAAACACAATGGAACCTTTGACTCAGCCAATGATTTGTTGATGATTGAGGTAATCAAAGGAAGCAGTGCTTCAAGACATTGCTTTTATAGGCATGTAGGCAAGGATCAAGCTTAGAGGACTTCGATTGCGAGGTCATGATGATATTGCACAACTCGTCCTGGGTTGTTGATGAGAGCTTTATCAAAAGGCCCCCATCAAATTTAATGTCAGCTGTCATGACAGATATATCATTGTCAGCAGTAGAGTTCACTTCGGCAATATTTTTCCTGATCGAGCTGATTTTATTCAGAAAGTAATCACTGAATTTGTTTGACAAGTCTTTTCAGAACTACAGCTTGGCGGGATAATGTCACCTTTCTGACCCATGATGTTTTTTGTGAGTCTAAAAAGCTGTCTGTGGTCCTTACCACATTCTTCGATTATTTCCGAATAATAAACCTTCTTTGACTGAATGAGAAGTGAACCGACTCGCCGACTTAGTTCTCTATAAATCTGTTAGTGAACGGTTAATTTGGTCCTTCGCAACTGTCTCTCTGCGTTTCTACGGTTCTGTTTTCCTACGCCGAGATTTTCATTATATCACATTAGTCTGTAGAGGTGCGTGTTTCTCTATAAGGGCTTCTTAACCAGATGTGAATGCTTCAACAAGATCATCAACCCCGCCGTCAGTAGATTGAAGGGCGGAAGAAGACAGAATGTCATTGTTGAAATCTGGTATTTTTCGCGGAATTTCCGGAAGCTCACTTCTTTCCTTGCACGAACTGGCTTTCTACAATTCAGTGTTGCGTGTACAGCAGATTGGTTCCCCTTAACATCACTGAAATTGCTCCATGTGTGACCGAGTTATTTCCCCTTGGTATGACCACATCCAGTTCATGGCAATGGGTGTGTGTAGCTTTTGTCACATGCTGAATCAGACCCCTGAGAACTGGCGAGTTTCAGCATTAGATAGATCGTCTAAGTGGAAATTTAGGTCATCCGTGATACATGTAATAACCTCTTTTGGTACAACAACTTGTTGGTCTAAAACGGAAGACTACTCATCAAAAAACACTGTTATTTCGGAAAACATTCTATTTAGATGGAGGAGGCCTATATATGTTACACAGTCTTAATTGCTTATCATCAGCAATGACAGAACAAGTCATGTGCTCAAAGTGTGTGTATACATATCATTGCTGGAAGAGAGATGTTTCACACTTAGGCCTTTCCCAAACAGAACAGCCACCCCACCACCACGTTCGCCGAGTCTAGCATTGCAGAGGAATCCATAGCCTGTTGGTATTAGCTCAGCTAGTACCTGGTCATCGATACCTGAACCTAACGGTGTTTCTGTCAATGCAAGACTGTCAATGTCCTGAGATG